TCCAACCCTATGGGAGGAGAAACCAACCATGACTCCATACACTTCAACATTCCATAATTTTGCTCCCTCTGCTCAGGAACACTTCATCATGGTGTCCTATTTTTGAGAGTTTTCTCCTAGTATAGGATATGACAAACCTACACTAGATGCACTATAGAAATTAATTTTGAACCAAGATATGATCCGAGGGAAAATCATACCTCCTCAAACCATCACCAAACACCACTTCATTGTTGAAGCTCATCTTTTTCTTGGTCTTATTAATTTCCTTGCCATCTACCAAGATCCCTTTGGGCTTCCTCACCATCTTCCTCATGGTTTTGTTGAGCCTTCTCTCGGGATGTTGCTCAAGCACATAGATGTTGTGCTTGTTCTTCCTCCCACGCAAGGCAAGTCTTCCACCTTTGTAGACCTTGCACCATTCTTGCTTTCCGACATACTTGCACCCTCGTGTTGTCAACTCACTCAAAGTAATAATGTTGCTTGAACACTTGGGTTGGGAATTTCGAACACCACAATCCCACACAAACGAAAGTGATAAAGAAATGGAGACAATAATTTAACGTGGTTCGACTTGTACACCTTTCAACAAGTCTACGTTAACGGAAAAAAGAAAAATAAATCCACTATTAAGAAAAAAAGTACAATAATTTGGAAGTTCTCTCACTTAAGAAGCTCTCAACCCCTAGCTTCAATCTATATAAGCTCCCAAATTCTTCCTAATACTCTCTCTTAATCTACACAAGGATTTCTCACAATTTCTCTCTTTCTTTTCTCTCACAAGAGTTCTCACTCAATTTCTCTTGCTTTCTCCTACCCTTGCTTGCACATTGCCTTTGCATGCATGGGTATTTATAGTGAAAAATCCAATTACCATGCACCATTTTTCTTTGCCTCATTACTACCCGTCCATGATTTTCTTTGTTGATTAAATGGCTCAACATGCAATCTTGCATGATTTCAACAAAGCAATCCTAACCCACAACTAGCTAGGTTGGTGAAGCAAACTTCCACACAAAAAGTCCATGGGTTCACACATGGGGTTGGACTTTCTTCCAACACAGAGCGCTACCGGGATCCATTGCGCGACGAACGTAGTGTTGTCGCTTAGGCTCTTGCATTTGGTCTTGAGGAAAGCAGCGTAGGTCGGATTCAATGAAGGGTCTTGGTCGCCTTTCCCAGTGAAGTTGTAGAGCCGGTTGCTAAAGGCATTGCAGAGCCCTACTCCGATTGCGTCCACCTGCATTTACATTAACACATTTAGCTATTAATTAATATCACAGAGATTTGAATTTTTGATTTTTTTAATTAAAAAGTTATGCACTTGAACCTGATAATACGACAAGGTCAAGCACGTTGAGGTCTTTTTTGGCAAAATTTTGTTTAAGGACGGTGAAGTTGGAGAAAGGAGAAGGCATATTGCCCAAGACTTCAGAAGCTCGTGAAATGATGCCATCTCTTCTACCAGTATACACTTTCCAGAGATTTCTTTTATACTGAAAATATCAATTGTTCGAAGAAGGATAAAGATATAAACATAGACATAAAGTCAAAGGTTCATACTTGTTGCAGAACTGCATTGGAAGTGCATTCCGAAATGAGTGTGTTTTTACTTACTTGGAATGAAACAGAATCTCTGGCAGCCAAAGCAAGAATATCAGCAACACAACTCCTGGACGTGCTTTCTCTACTTTTTCTTTTAGATCATCAATCACGTCGAAACCCAACAAGGTCAGGTTCGGCGTTGCGGCCTTCTCTGCAGTGTTGTTCGCAGTTGAGTTCAACAAAGTGGAACCATCACAACCCTATAAAAATTTTGGCAAAAAAACGAGAGAATTATAATCACTTTAATTAATTAACTGGCATGATATGTTAATTAGCTTCATATACCCTAACAAAGCAGTCATGAAAGTGCAGTCTGAGGAGCCTGGCTGGTACGGTAG